GTTGTATACTAATCATAATGAATTTTGAACTTAATTCAGTTAATTAATTCATATAATTACTATTAAAAGTTGACATCCAGCATATTTGGAGTTCAAATCCTAACTTATTCCCTTATCACTAAACTATAACCTCATTTGTTAAAAAGAAAAAAGTACTATGCAACTTTCCAAAGTAACAAATTGGGATTGAAACTCTCCTTTTAGCATAAGTTCTCTTTCTTTTCTTCTTGTTAATTTCTAATCTAAACTGATGAATATTTTAAGTATTAGTAAAAGTTTAGGCAGTGGAACTTATAAAGGTTATAACTTTGTCATATTCCACTTTATGAATGTATTTAATGTTAATTTTATAGGAAAAAAAACTTAGTACAAGATATCACACATAACTAAAGACAAAAGTAATGACATGAAATTGAAGGTGTGATCTATTGATAATGTGTTCAACTCTTAAATTTTGTGATCAATGTTCAATTTTTGTCAATTTTAAATAAAAAAAAACATTAATAACGAAAAGTAATATATATATTTTTTGTATAATATTTGTATACAATAATGTCATTAATTTTGATTTGGAAAAAAATGAGCTATTAAAAATATTGGTGATGCAGCTGGCTGACTCTCTTCAAGAGAAGCTCTCCCAAGCTTCAGGTGGCAGCTATTAGCTAGGGTGGTTGACAAACAGAATTTAGAGAAATTTATTGCTCTAGCTACCAATCAAAGGAGGAACCTTAATATATAAAATGAAAACAAGCATTATTGCACATATATACTTCTAATAAGATTAATATAAATTAAGACATATGTAACCAAGAATATTAGTTTTAATAAATAAGATTTAAAGAGTGACATTCATACAATTACGTAAAGCAATAAGAGGAGATGAATGTTTTAAAATTTCAAGCGAAGCACATATTGAACTTTTAAGTTTTTTAATATTGCTATGAAAATTTAATTCTTGTTTTACTTTAATTAATATATATTATATATCTAAGCCTTAACTCCACCATAAACTAAAATAAAATAAATAATATAATGAACAATAATGTTCATTTTCCTTAGTTCAAAAGTTCATTTGCATTCATGCTTTTATATATAGAATAGATATAGATTATAAATAACTATAGGTCGAAGTCTAAATTTGGTTTGTTTACAATTCAATTCAACAGTTTTAATCCCTTTCATCTTGATTAAAATGATATTATCCCATACCTATTAAATTTTGGATTTTTTTGTGGTTTTATATTCAAATTAGATTTCTCTATATATTATCAAATGGTTTTAAGTTAAATACTTAATATGTATCAAAGCTTAATATTTTTTTATTTTCTTATTACCTTTCTAAACTTATCACATGGTAGTTCGGCTTACTTGTAATGGGCCCTTTCAAAGTAATATCCCTCATCTATTAAGTCTTAAATATCATATGGTCTTATAACTAAATTAGATTTTGTTTATCTACTGTCAATTGATTTTCGATTAAATGTTTAATGATTTTAATTTTTAAAAATTTAATAATTCTCATGCTTTTATAAAAAATCAATTTAAAAATAATTGATAACGATATTAAAATTATGTAATTAATTTTCAATCATGTGGCTTTTCTGTTCAGTTAGTTGGACTAGTAAAATGTGATAAATATGCTACTATGCTATTGAAAGAAAAATTAAATTTTACCATCCTATGTTTTAAGCTATGCTACTTTGTGCTCGTGAAATTGAGTTGTCTGAATTCATGGTTTAATGGCTTTCGAGTGAAGATCTATTTGACCAATTAGAGTCAAATTATCAATTAAAATTTTGAAATCTGGGATAGAAGCGTCTTTTTGCTTTTTTTTTTTAATTTTAATTATTCACTAAAGATTTTTTTTTTATTTTATAAGTCAAATTCAAATTTTACTATATGTAAATTTGATTTAATTTTATATTGATTTATTAATTTATTTACTTTGTTTTTTTATTTTGTCTTAAACAAAATAATTATGTCATACGTGTTGGGAAATTAATTTTTATTATAACGTTTATTTATACGTGTAATCTCGTAACAATCCAATTTGAGGCATCCCAATCTAATGATATTATTGAGAAATAAACCCTCGAATTTGATCCTCATTTAGTTAAGTTTTTAAAGAAACCCAAACGAACCCATTTTAGTTTGTGTAAAATTATTTGGTTTTTGAAATTGAAATTACCGCAAAATTAGAGTTATTCGAAAGGAATGTTTTAATTGATCACATTCTTGAAGACCAAAAACCCAATTTGAGAATAGGTGGAACTTAATTTTATCACAAGTTAATGTGAAAATGAGTTTACTTAGTGAAATCTGAATCCCATATGACATCCGTCTAACATAAGAATGACACAATTAAAAAATAATAATAATTCTTGACTATATTTTAGTCAAACTGAAAATATTTGGACATAATCTAAAAATAAAATGACCTTAAATGCAAGATGTGATAAATTGAGTCACCGTCGCTACCACCCAAGCTTAAACATAGAATTTTAGAGTGTGTAGCAATTAACAAATTAAAATAAATTGAGTTATTACATGTTGGCCCAACACATTAGCCAGAAATTTGCTAAGTAGTTAGTATTTAGGTATCATGAAGGTACAATACAATCTCTTTTTTTTTTTTAGTTTTTAATCTACTTTTAAACCCTCTTATCCTACTATATACTTGACTGAAGAGGATATTACATATCTTAATTCTCTCGAACTCATAGCCTTCAAGTACCAATTGATCTAAGGGATAGTCGGTTACAATAAAATCTTTTTAAATAGAGAGGAAATACTTATATTTTGGTGTCAACTTCCAATTAATTCTTTCTAATAAGATCTTTCAAAAATAATAATAATTCTATTATTGTTGAGGCTAATTAAAACACATAGAGCCGGTGATCACTCTAATCGTAGTTGATCAAAATATCAAAAAATCTAACATTTTGATCTTCCTTTTGCTTTATAAATAATGCCCCAAAATCACCTGCGAAAAGAAGAAGAGGGAAGAAAAGCCCAGAATCTCTGCAAAAACAAAAAAAAAAAAAGATAAAAAAAAGACATTGTCAGATCCAAAAGAAGGTGCAAATTAATGTGAAAAGATAGATTCATTGCAAATTATAATGGTGTAAATTACTACTTATACACTCACAAGAATTAGTCCAAACGAAAAAAAAAAAAGAAAGAGTTTTATTTTCTTGTCAATCAAGGTTATATTGTTGTAACGAGACTGATCGAGAGTGTGCACCCTTTATGTTCGTCTGGTAAAATCTAGAAATATATATATATATATATATATATATATATATATATATACTCTTAAAAAACAAAATTCCTACTTGCAAAAGAAAAGGATGTAAATTACTTTTCAAGGATTGGAGAAGAAATAAGGATAGATCACTACTCAAAAGATATTCTCAAGGATGGATAACTCATGATAAGATAATTAAAAAAGAATAATCGAAATTTTTTTACCTTCGTTATTAATTCTCATTTTCCTTTTTCCTTTCTTTTTTAATTTCAATCCAAATAGGCTTACACAATAGAAATTACCTTCTCCTCTAAAGTTTATTCTACCAGTTTGATTTTCTTCAAATTATGTGCAACAATAAGTTACACAGTGATGATCAGTGAGGTAGTGAGATACAGACACGCCATTACTTTCCTGCTGCCTCAAGTCCTTGGTTCAAACTACAAAGCAATGCAATATTTCAGAGAGAGAGGCACACCACCATAAAAATATATATTTCAAATTTACGTTGAAATTACTTTCTCTGTTACAGAACAAAAACACGTACCAACAAGAAATTAATACTATATCTTTTAACTTTAAATTACTGCGCCAGTGGCAAAGAAAGATTCATGCACCGTATGATCTAACCTTTCTATTTGCAAAAATCAGAATAGTAAAATTTCTCTTCCTATTTACAGCAAAGACAACTTGCCTCATGGGCAGTCATTGCTTAATACGGTCGGACTTAAAAACCTTTGGAAATCCAACTGTAATAGGGTCCACGACTGCCCCTTGTCATACATTATCAAAGACCCTCCACTAGAGGTGAAAAAAAAATTGAAAAAAATCAAAAATCGGTTTGAAATTTTAGTGTTTGGTTTGAAATTTTAGTGTTCGGTTTGGATCAATTTTTTTTATTCGATTTAGATTAAATTAAGATATTAAATATATATATTAAATTTGGATCAAATTTTGAATTAAAATGTGAAAAATCAAAAAATATCGAACTAAATTGAATTATATATATTAATTAATTTATATATTTTTTAAATTTTTATAAAATAAAAATAAATATTTTATATATAAATATATTAAAAATCTTATTAAAATAATATATAAAAAATAAAATTTAAAAACCGATAAACCAAACCAAATCGAATTAATAGAATTTAATTCAGATCTGATCAATTTCAAAAGAAAATCGATTTAGATTCGGATTAAATTTTAAAAATTCATAATATTATATATTATTCAAAAAATTAAATTAAATCTAATTCGATTTGAATCGTTGTCACTTCTAGATGCAATAATATAGTTACGATTTTGGCTTTATGATTCAACTATCACTCATTTTAGAGGAAAACGAAAATTTTAAGTTTCTAATAAATTAATATACCTGATGTTGTAATTATAAAATTCTTGTCATTAAAGTACATATATTTTTTGTGATCTCAAGTTTTGTTTGTATTCTCGAAATGTTTTGTATAATAATCGAACCCTAATTAGCGGGTAAAAGAATCTTTTTTCTTTATCAACCAAAAACCAACCCTTTCAGGTCCTTTTTAAATTATATAAAGGACCAAGGTTAGGAGATAGAAGGAAAGATTATATACCTTGATTGCGCAATCAAATAATTCATGAAAGAAAAAAAAAATCACATAGTTAGAGGTAAATACAAGTAGCATTATATAGTTATAGGTAAATAAATATAGATAAGTGAATAATGTATAGAGTTGAAGTAAAGAAGGAATGAGATAAAAATTTCGCCCCCCTCATCCGCCGAAGATGTAACAGGTTGGGGTCAGGGTCACAGTCACACTCATTTCATCATAATAGCAACAAGCATTATCTGAACAGGGTTGGGTTGGTAATACTTCCAAATTTTCCTTTTTTTTTTTTTTTTCCTTCAAACCCTAACCTCTTTCCCAGAACAATAGCGAGTAATTGAACCGCCTTTTCATCTCTAACTAAATCTGGTTTCCCATAAGAAACCACCCTTTATTTTCCCTTCCAGGTCACAACATTTGTTGCCTACCGTGGGCACTACTACAGAATTACCAACTCTTTTTTTTTTTTTTTTTCATGTTGTTTTTTTCACCATATTGGCTTGGCTTCTCTCTCTTTTATATTGCCTCTTTGGATCCTATGTCTCTCTTTCTTTTTGCCTTTCTGATTCTCACTCCGAATAAAATTTTCTATATATAAAGGACATTTAGTTTACTGTTGTGATACATAGCCCGGTTTTAAAGCAAGGAGTTGAGGGAATAAAAGCTCTTTTTTTGGCTACCAAGTGTTGCTTTCTTCTTGTGGTTTTTGCTACTTGTTACAGAGAAGCAATTGGTTCTCTTTTCTTTACCTTTTCTTTCTTGGTTTTCTTTGTTGCTTTCTCCTTGGGGTTGAGGAGAGGTTGCTCTAAGCTTTGATTTAATTTTTACTTGAAAGACATGTCGAGCTGCATCGATGTTGGACCTGAGCAACTCTGCTATATCCCTTGCAACTTTTGCAACATAGTTCTTGCGGTATCTGATCTGATATATCTCTTCTTTTTAATGGAGGGATATGCCTATTTATTTATATGCACAGTTCTTATCAACAAGGCCACTAACTAATTATTTATGCATATTTTGGTTTTGGTTTTGGTTTGGTATTTTCATTCTCCATGTATATCTTACAAAGAAAGAAAATTTTAGATCCTGATAAAAGCTGTCTTAGCTTCTGCGATCAGAGCTCCCGTGTTCTTTTTACTGAAATCTATTGATTTTCTTTTCTGGGTTTTCTTGTTTTTCTTACCAGTCAGGTCTCCATCGTTAGACTTTTCCTTTTCTTCCTCTTTTGCAGTCAAAGAAAAGTTATAATGCAAAGACCAGAGAAAGAGAGAGGAGGAGAGGGAAGGGCTTAGCTAGAGATTACTTTTCTTTTATTATTATGTTATTTTTGGTAAATAAAAGAGTAAATTTTTTATCGTCGAAAGTTCAAGCACAGGCATTTTGTTGATAATCTGATGAGGACAACTCCTCAACTCCCTTGGTTTACTACTGTTGTTACATACCTTTACCTTGCTAAAAATACTGCCACAGCCTGCTTCCTCTGCTAATTCAGTTTCTTTAGCAAATGGGGAAAAGAAAAATGAATGATCTCATTAACCTTTGATCATTTCCCAGAAAACTTCCAACTCAAACACATTAAGAAACCCACCCTTCACCTATAAATTTTAGTATCACTATCTTCTTCCCATCAAAGGAAAAACAAGGAAAAAAAAAAACCCATTTCTTTTCTCCTTCTCTCACCATGAATTCACGAAGCATATGCTTCTTCCTTGACCAATATTCTACTGACCTAATCACCTTCTTCTCTGTTTCCTGCCCTTTTTTTCTTTTCTTCTTTAAGCTGATTCAATTGTTGATGTAGGGAGAAAATAGAAGCTAGCTTATCAATATCATAAAGAGAACCCAATTTTAAGAAATGTTATTTGATCTGGGATTTTCTTTCATTTATTTTTACAACTTGCAACTGAATTTTGCTTAATTATAGTAGCTGATTATTGGGCAAATGCGCAGGTGAGCGTTCCATGCAGCAGCCTGTTTGATATTGTGACCGTCCGATGCGGGCACTGCACCAATCTATGGTCCGTGAACATGGCAGCTGCATTTCAGTCATTGTCATGGCAAGATGCTCAGGTGATACGATCCTGGTCGAAATAAAATTTATTTAAATATGTCTATTTCTGGCTCTTCAAAGCCTTTCAAACCTAGGGCTTCTCGGGGTAGTAAACATTTGTTCTTTTAAAAAGAAATCAAAAGCTTTTCAACACCTAGATGGAGAATTTCTAAACATTTTTCTCTATGGAAATGGTTGCAGTCACTGGAAACCTAGCAGCTGCCATGACCAAAACCTATTTAATTTGCTTTTCTATAGGGCTGGATTTTGCGGCCGTGAGTCAGGAGGCCTGTAAACATAAACTATGTGTATTATTATCCTGACCCATCAAATGCTTAGCCGCATTTCTTTGTCTTTGTTTTTGTTTTGTAAGGTGTGCTTTAGGTAGCTTGATTTGATTGACAAGTAAGTTAGAGTTCTTAGGTTTAATGATTTCTTTTCGAGAACTTTAACTGTGGAAACAAAGAAATGGAAACTGAGAGAGGAAGGGGTTTGTGAGAGAGATCCTTTGGTTAGAAACTGATTTTGGGGGCCCTTGTCTCAAGGATTTGGCTATCTGGGTTATGCCCGCCATGTATCTTAAATGATGCTACAATTCTAACTGATTCAGTCACTTCAATGCTGGTTTTGCTCCTTTTCTCTCTCTCTCTCAAAAATCATTTCAGTCTACTCAGCTTTTTCTCTTCCTCTTTCTTTTTTTTCTTTTTTGTTTTTTAGTTTCCTCTCCCTCTCCTATTATTAATATTACCTCTAACATGAATGACTTCTATTTCCTTTTTTTTTTTTTCTTTTTCACCTTTTACCTAAAACTAGCTAATTATACATAAAAAAAAATACTACAGAGGAAAGCAAATGCCCTATATCAGCATAAAATAAAATGACCCAAGAACGAAAACCTGAGTTCTCTTTCTTGATTAATGGAGAATTCACTCGAGAAAAGATTGTAATCATAACTTGTCTTTTGATGTTGATCTGATATACAAAAATTTTTCAAATTTTTATAGGCACCCAATTATGCAACACAGGATTACAGAACCGATTTGGGTTCCTCTTCCAGATGCAACAACAAATTCTCAATGCGAGCTCCTGTGAACAATGTCACCGAGGAAAGGGTAGTGAATCGACGTAAGTTAATCACATCTATTAGATAATGCCAGGTTTTCTTTTCTTACATCATTTCTCATTCCTTTTTATTTTGCAAAAAAAAAAAAAATTCACATTACTTTTTTCTTCTTTCTTTTTTTTTTTTTTAATTTATGTAATTCTTCATGAATTTTTTTTAGTTCGCATTTAAATCATTATTAAGATATTGTTATTTCATTTCAGCTCCTGAGAAGAGGCAGCGAGTACCTTCTGCATACAATCAGTTCATAAAGTACGAAAACCATAATAAATTTCTTTAACATTGCACATCATTAATTTGTATTTTTAGTTGTAGATTTACTATTTATATGTTTCTAATAATCAATTAATGTAGAGAGGAGATCCAAAGGATCAAGGCCAACAATCCTGAAATCAGCCACAGGGAAGCATTCAGCACTGCTGCTAAGAATGTAAGTTCACAAGGCTGCAAAAACATGACCAGAAGACAGACCTTTTTAGATTTCATATCAAATGTTTTTGGTTATTGACCACCTCTTTTTATTCCTACAGTGGGCGCACTTCCCTCATATCCATTTTGGGCTCATGCTGGAAAGCAACAATCAAACTAAGCTGGATGATGTAAGTGCTTAATTTAGTTCCTGATCATAATATAATATATAGTTAATTTCTCTTTTTATAGGGAAAGTTGAAAACAAAGCTTAAAGTAGGAATGACTTCTTCTATGGTTAAAATAGCTTTTATAGCAACAGTTACATGAATTATTGATAAAGTATTGGACTTTTAATTTTAATAATCAGAAACCAAACCCTGTAGATTAAATATTAAAAAAAGGAGCTGCTATAATATAAGATGTTGAAATAACACTTCAGAGATCATCCTTGAACACCTTTAGGATATAAATTATATTGATGGGAATTTAAGAAAGTTTAGCATATAACCATAAAATTTTTGTTAGTTAAGTCAAGAGTTTATATAATCAAGCATAAAATGTCAAGGTGATTTACCAGGGTAATTGCATGGGACCATATTATCAAGCTTCTCTCCTATCTGATTTAAATGAACCCTTTTTCTTTTTCTTTTTTTTTTTAAGGCATACCAAATAATATCAATCATCCATAAATGGGATTAATATTTGAGATTAGTAATGGTGAACTCTGATTAATTTGTTCGATTTTTTTTAAAGACTGATTAACTAATTATACAATTTTTTTGTGTTGAACTGTTGATTTTGAACAGGGCTCTGAGAAGCATCTCGTGTCAAGGACTGCACTTCTGAACAAGTGATTATGTTCAACGTTCAAGAAGCACCCTTTCCCACTGGAGAGTTATGGCTTGAAGTGAAGAAAAGTCTTGAGCCATTGTGTTTTTTATGGACATGAATTTACATCCTTTGTTTTATTTGTCTTAAGCTGTTAGAATATGCTATTTACTTGTTTTATTTGTCTTAAGCTATTAGAATATGAACTGAACTGAGCTACTTTCGTTTGCTGTCTTCATCATAGTATCCACTTTTCAAGTGAACATATTTATATATATTATCATTAAAAATAAATGCCACTATGTTGTTAATTAATTAGCATATGGGAATATTACTATATATATATATATATATATATATTTGAAATTCCAAATCTTTTTTTGAATTTTTGTCAGAATTTGAATTCTGATAATTAAAATTAAAAATCCAACACTTTATCTCAAAATCTTTAGTAATTAGGGTATTTTTAAATAGCAAGTACTTTAAATCTTAATACTGCAGACGTAATAATTTCCAGCTTCATTAATCATGCATATATAGCTAATTTAATTTAATTAATATAATAATGTTTCTTAGCGCATGACTGTCTTACATTATATCCCTGTATAAAATTTGTGCCCCAATTATATATATTTAGGTTTAAATTTACTCATTTCTCATCAAGTGGAATACAAATTAAAAATTAGCCTATAACCTATTTACAAACTCTTTCATGCATCAGAATTACTTAATTATGAGAAATTAATTAATTTTAAACAGGCTATATATTCTTTAGAAGATACATATTATATACTAGCATTTGTATGATATTTCGAAAACAGTACTTCGTATAGTCTTACTTTCTACTTGTACGCCTATTAAGATTTTTTTTTTTTGCTAGATTAATACTGCATTAATATGCTTGAACAAAAAAAAAAAAAAACTGTGAAAAATTATGATTTAAAATAAAGCCAAAAAAATTAATATTTCATGTGGTCGTTGTTTTTTGGAGTATTATTTATTTTTAAGAAATTACTAAAAAGCAAGTTGGAATAATAGAAGATAGGATAAATTAAAAAAGAAAAAACTCATCATAAGGGTAAGGGCGGATTAAATATTTTCCTTGTGGTTTAAACATACACTTAACTAATGATTTTTTCTATAAATTTTGAAATAAAACTTTTTTATCTTTTTTATTTCTTTTAATTTTTTCTTTGTCGCACTTTAATTCTTTCTCTAATTTTTAATTCCCATCTAGATTTAACAATATCATATCATGTATGTTATTTTTTTAACAGTATTGATTTGAAAATCAGTGAAAGAAATCATAAGAAAGTAAAGTGTCAGTTTTTAAACATTAGAGAACAAATTTATTTGGCATCTAATCAATGATTATTTTTTATAATTTACCAAAAAAATTAAAGTGATATAACATTCTAGCTTTTCTTAATGATATTACTGCTTTGTAATGAAAGAAATTTGAAATTTTAATTGATCTCGGGTATAGATTCAAAATAAAAGATAAGATTTCATTTATTTGTTATTTAGTTACTCATTTTTTAGTATATTATTTATTTCTTTCTTTCTAAAACATTATTGAAAGGTTGGTATAAATATAAAAAATGTCACATTTTTGGTTGAAACGAGTAATAAGCATCAATTATAATTGTTTCACATAAAAGGTAAAATCTTGCAATTTATTGCTTACAAACATTAAAATTTTACTATTTAATATTTTTTACTTTTTATCCAAAATTCTTTTTACTTTTGTTTTAAATAAAAAATAAAAAAACAATAAAACAAATTAGACTAATTAATTATCCTTATATTTTCCCCTATTGTGGAAAGGGAAAAGAGTGAATTTTGTAAAAAAAAAAAAAAGAAAAAAAGAAAAGAATTAGTCATTTACATCAAATTTTGCAAACTTGCAACCAAAAATACTTAGCTAGATTTGCAAGCTGAGAATAATAGATCATAAGAAACAATATATGCCCAAATTGGACAATTGAGCAGTATGCAGCCTTATTTGTTGTTGTTTCATGATCTTTAATGGCAAACAACATTTTCTAAAAAAAAAAAAATTATACTTATAAGTCTAACAATTTTATATTTTTTCTATAAAATTATCTTCAAATACTGTAGATTTCCTAGCTGTTATATTTGGTCAAATCTTCATATTTTTTATCGTGCACTATATTTTTCTGAATTCTTTTGTTATTATTGGAAGTATGAATTTGAAAAGTGGATTAGGATTTTATTTTCTATGATAATGAAATGCATGCATCATCCACAAATTAGTTAAGATTTAATAAGATTATATATTTAAAAATTTTATATTTGATGTACTGTCAGTGTATAGATGTTATACACTGTCAATAAACCATGCGATGACACCCTGTAAAAAATTAATTTAAAAATGGTTTTAGGATTATTTGCCTTTGATTTTTAGGGCTTTAGAATTAATTTTTTATAAGATGTCATTGTATATTTCACTAATTATATAATATTTATACATGACCAGTATATAAAATATAAACTCATATTTTATTGATGGAAACTAATTGGCAGTGATTGGTAACTGCTACAATTCATATAAACTCATTGATTGCTATAAAATTTTTTGTCCGTGATACTTTAATTTCTGATAATAAAAGGTATAAAAAGATGAATTTCAACAAATTTGAAAAATAATCATGAAGGTTATACTTACATATGCTTTATTATACAATTTACACTAATTTTGACAATAATGCAACTTTGCTTCCTTCCAACAAAGTTTTGAAAATTTTGGGATATATCATATATGCAAGCAAACCATTTCTTAAATCAGCCTAACATATGTGAAGTTAATTTAGAAAATTAGTTGTAATTCCAATGCAAAACCAGCTCTTCCAGCTGGTAAAAAAGAAAAGTTCATCAAGGGAATGGGAGGGAAAGGTAAGTTGCATGAAGTATGACCAGCAAAGTACTTGCTGCTTAATTCCTTGAAGCAGTCACATAGAAACTTACATATGATGATTCTATAGAAACCATCAGGCCATTCCCATTTTTTCTTTGAATTATTGAAAGAGTGAATGGAAAAAGTTACACCTCCTTTGGGTTTTTCATTTTTTTTTAATTGTTTTTGTTTTGCGTTCAAAAGTAAATATCTAAGAAAAGTCTTTGTCTGTCCAAGCATAGAGTACAACTCACAAGCCATAACCTCTGTGAAAAGTAGAATTTTTGGACCACCATTTTGCTGCTTTGCCATTTCATCTCAACATCCATAGAATCTCCAATAAAAAGCACTAAAGTTATGGAGCAAACCCTTTTGCATATATATTTTCAGCCTCTGATTTTTGCATTCAACTGTTTGACTGAAATATGCTTTTTACCTATAATTATTCTGAGAAAACTACTTTTATGTTAGAATCATTAAATTTCCTTTTTTTCATGAACAATATCATTAGATTCATGAAATGGGAGACGCATTATACATGCAGAGGCAGCAATTAGGGCATCTCTCAAAACAGCTGGTGAAGTGGAAATGTGGTCTCCCCACTCCCACTGTTCTATTCTCAAGAAGAAAGTTAAAATTTTCAATCATCAACTATAAATAAATAATTAAACACTCACCTTTTTTTCTCTTTGATTGCATAAGAAACCTTAAGAATCCAATTTGCTTGATTAGTAGACAAAAAGATACTCTAGACATGACAAACACTATAATGGCTGGCTTATGAATCTTTTCTTTATATCCCCCAACACACTACTAGAAAAATGAGTTTTAGCAATGGTTAATGTCGTTGCAAAATATCAATTTTATCATTGCGAAATAAATTGAAACATACAATTCTCTTCCTTGTTCATATAAACTCTTTCTCCATCCTTGTATTGAAGGCAAGGTATTCAATGTTAGGTCCCTGATAAATATAACCAAAAAACTTTACCACCAATTGTTACCTGCAGACTTGTGCAGCATGGGGTTGTAACTAAAAAGAAAGTAGAAGTCCACTGAAAACAATATATATTAGAACTTGTCAATATAAAACTGTATGATATTTGCAAGCTAACTTCAAACCTATTGACCAAATATATATATATATATATATATATATATATATGTTAACTAGATAAGATTTGTATGGAAAGGACAAACAAGCACCAGGTACAATAATATATATAGGGAACTAGACTAAGAAAAGAGAGGAGGGGCTAGTTTAAAACTTATAATCAAAGAAACCAAACTGTATATATTTAATTGGGGTGGAGCATATATAGTTTGGTTTCTTTTAGACTTTTACTATTTCTGTCTAAGTTAAAAGGGAAAGAAAAGAACAAAAATGGAGTAAAATAGTTCAAAAGATAAGAAACTAAAAGAACATTATGGATATAGATTATGAGATCTTTAATGATACACCTTTTTTAAGTAGATACAACGGAAGTGATTTTTTCTCCTAAATTTTATAATGTTTTTAACTTTGTTTCTTTCTCTTTATAACCCCCCCCCCCCCCCCAAAAAAAAAAAAAAGAAGATATGACAATGAGTAGTAAAAATATGAAATTCATGTAGGTAGCTAGAGAGAAATTAGAAGTGCATGTAAGTTGTAAAAATGTAAATCGGGGGTAATAATGATTGAATGTCCTCGGGATCAGCAATTGGATTGTAGTAAGATTACAAGCTGGCAAATAGATTTTCTTGCTACTTACAATAGTTATTTATCCCAAGAAAAAATGCAAGAAAAGGAAAGAACAGTAGTACATAACAGCACACAAGGGGGCAATGCTTGGTGGTGGTGATAGTGGGGAGTCAAAAACTAGAAAAGGGCAAGAGTTGCAGAATGCAGTTCTGACATAAGAATCTGAAATGTCAAATTCATGTCTGGTGAATGCATTCATTTTCATTATTTCATTGTCATTTCACCTCTCAAAGCCCTGACTAGCTTGTTCTAACCCCCCGCACCCAACTCACCCTCTCTTTGGACTCTTTGATTTTGGAGTTTTGGGGACACCCTTTCTCTCTCAAACGCGAATGGTTGGTGGGTGTCTTTTCAAGGTGCTCCTACACACCTCCTTTCTCTTGCAATTTACAATCTTCTTTGAAGGTGGGGTCCAACATTAACAAGGATAAGTTCTTTGTTGTTAAAAACAGGAGCAACACCCAACATGTGATTCCTATGGCATCCTGTTCGATCGATTACTTTTTTGGACATAAATTCAATGTGTGAACAGGAATTGTGCCACGTCCAGGTCCAGGCTCGTCTTTCTTTCTTTCTTTCTTATCTAGAGAGCAAACAGGAAGATCCAAAAGCCAAATAATGGGAACAAAGCAGTACTCTATTCGACAAGAGAGAAAATCGCATTATTCGCAAAGGACCAATTATATATTTTGTTGCAAAGCTTTGGGCTTTAACAGGATGGTTTTGTGATCATTCCAGTAAGTTTCTTTCCAATTCCCTTAAAATGATCATCAACCTGATAGTTTGAAGACAGTCACGAAGAAACCAATGACAATACAGTTTGCTCTTTGCCGTAACTAAGAAACAAGGAGGGCTAATGCTACAATTAAGTGAATCTAGGTTTCAGCTTTAGACAATTCTTTCTCCTACAATACCGCAAAGATGCATAACTAATTGAGATTCTCACCGATGAAATTTGGACTCCGACTCACTAAAATCTGAAGGGGGAAAATTGAAAAAGAAAAGGGAAATAAAAACATCATTCCTGTGTCTGTAGCATATGGTATTTTTTTCCTATTGAACTGAAAGATATTCTTGATGACCTATCAGATCCGAAGTTGAAGGTAATATCTGAAGCATCAACATGTTTAGATGCACTGCTTGTCGAAGGGAAAGAAAAAACAAGGGTAGTGGACGATCTATTTGAGCCAAAGCTATATGAAGGTCCTGTATGTTCCTCTTTGGGCTGATGCAGACTGCTACCTGATAGCGATGGCATGATGGATGGTGTTGGAGGCTCAGAAGACACACCAGAAGATGCAGGAACAGGGAAAGTGAAACCACTGCTATTATCCGAAGTAAACATCCACCTTTGCTCAGGCTTTTTGACAGAAATAGAAGCCAAAACTGGTTTATTTCCCAAAGAGTTGGAGCAAGGCTTTTGTAGACACTCAGACGTAGCAGCATCAGTGACCTTTGAGAGATCCTGTCCGATAAATTGATTAGTATGGCATTCTTTGATGTAAACATGAATTCTTAATGGGAAAAAAAACAAAATAAATGACATATATCACAAAAGTTACTTGATAGACCTAGGCAAATTGGCAAATGAGACACAGACTAAGTGATTAACACAGCTGCTGCATCAAATCATGATCACCAGATTCGTAACCCCAACCAAATTTCAAAGTTGCTTTATGAAAGGGAGGTAAAATGATAGGATATCTTATCACCAATGTACTTAGCATGAGAGAAGAAAAAAATAGATAGAAAACGTTAATGTCTCTTTCACTTTCCAAGTTGGGCCAACTAAACGATAGAAATTGGATGTTCATTTATTTACCGTAGTGCATTTGTTATGTATTATCTTCTATATAGCATGTCTGAAGGAAAAAAAAGGTTAAATTTCTTAAAAGATACTGAGCCTGTAATTTAAATGGTTCTAGTTATAGCTGATACTTACTAGGAAAGTACATAGAAAAAGATTAGCATTAAGGCATGAGAATGTTACACTATTAGATAAGCATAAGACCTAATGAAAGCATGCATGGTCACAGAACAATAATGTAAGGATGAATGAAATACCTTGTGTGCATTCTTGCTTTGAGAATCCTGATTTTTTCCAAAATCTACTGAAGACCCTGCATTATTGCCAAACATTGTAATAGTGCTATCAACTTTTAAATCAGAAGCACTTGTTCTTTTCACATCCTGAGCCTCTATGGTACTCTCTGGAGATGCCACTGAAAATGAGTTCCCTCTATCTTCATTCCACTGAGTGGGACTTCTATTGTTAATTTGATCCCTGCTTTTAGAAGAATCAAGTCCTAAATATGGCAAACTGTTGTGACCCTTTGAAGTGGCAACATTAGCATCTGAAGATTGAGATCTTTTCCTTGAAGTGGCTATCTTTAGTTCATTGGACTTCTCCTTAGGAGTGGCTAGATTTCGCTCAAGGTGCTCCAATATTGTCCTAGCCGTCTGACTGGAATGTGGATGTACAGGTGGGATACCAATATCAGAAATTCTGTTACCATCTACTGACTGAAAAACTGAAGAGCTACTAGTGCCTCTTTGCTCCAAATTCTTCTTGATAGAACAAAATAGACCATCGGAAACATTGGAATTTCCCACCAGAAAAGGATCATTTAACGATGAATGAGAATAAACAGATCCTCTGGATGGAGTTTCTGCAGTGACCTTATGTCGAATCCTGCGAATGGGTCCTACAGATCCATGGGCGTCATCCACTATATTGCTCCTCAACTTCAAATATGTGTTCAAACACCAAGCATAGGACTCAAGTCAAATAGATGTAATGATAAGAGTTCAATTCATCAAAAAAGAAAGTTTCAAATAGGCAATAGCTACACCACAATGAAAATTCCCTTATTCAGCTTTTGTACATGTCCAGCTTTGGCAAAAAAATTTCACAAATTAGACTCTGTCCAACCTAGATGCACATTTTTTCCCCAAGGCTTTGCTTAGTAAGAAGGATAGAAAAATTATTAACCCAATTGTTAGGTTTCATAACTACTTTCCTACTTTAGAGCTTAACAATTGGATTAAACACTTTCCCATCCTTACCATTTCTGTCATTCCTGGTTCCTACAAGGCAAAGCCTAAATGTTCATAGAATAGAACTTTAGATAAATAATTATGCCATAACACTTCAATTAAAATAAATAACATAACACAGAGAGACAAAATCAGAAAACATAAAGCACGCTTATCCATGTGTTGGTAGTAATGAGGAATCCGTATTGAAGAAGCATTTTAAAAACAAAAATAGAGAGGATATAATTCAAGATTGAACTACTAGTTATTACCATTCTATTAGATGGTCAAGGTTCAAGGTTCAATTTCTGCTTCTCATTAACCAAATGTAGCCATTTTTTTTTCCCTTTAAGAAAAAGGAAGTTGATTCCAAAATCTTATACAAGTCCCAACTTTCAACTCCCCATTTAGTAGTTTCATTTGCCCTGGTGCTTTGCCTAAGGATCAAATTCAGAAAGAAGCTCAAACCGACCATATGATTAATAGTAAAGCTACTTCTTTTTCTTTGGTACAAAGAGAGTAAACTTCTTTTCCTTTGCCTAAGGTTGGATAGAGTAAGCTCAAGTATCTTCTTCCCCTCAGAAAACTTCTTCATCCGGGCGTCATAGGAACCATATGAAAAACAAGAAACTTTTGCTTTAAAGAGAGAAAGAAGACAACAAAAGTCAGCAGTAAAATTTTCAGCATAAACTAGAAATGTACTAAAGCCCAAGCCACAAACTCTTCATCCTTCAAGGACGACTAGCATATGTCATCTGATTCTCTTCAACCATCTCCTTGCATTTTAGCCTTCTAAGCTAAGCAAGATATCATTCTTAGAAGCACTTTAAGAACATTGCTTGATATCTAACAGCATTAACCAAGGTACTTATGAACCTAAAATTACCAATAAGCAATCAATGCCACTAATGAACACTGAAAATGGCATGACATCATCATGAGACATGCATACCAAGAAATAGAAAAACATGTGTATGCACATTCGTGCACACACACACACACACACACACACATATATATCTATAGCACTATACTAGAAGTATAATCAGGAGTATCATTATGACTGCTAATCATGAAAAATTACCTTCCCATGTATAGGAGTTTGTGATTGCTGCAAGGGAGAGAATGAACTATTCAGGAAACCATTACCCTCGTCTCGTACATGAGCCAACTGATTCCATGCAGAAGAAAAAAAAAATCATGTCTCATGCAATCAATCAAATGTAAATCATAATAGAACAGATACAAAATTTTAAAATTCCACACCTTCAATTTAGATTGCGAAAAAATAGTTCTGGAGTAAGGGGTTCTTGGAATATTATGAAGCCCAAATCTGCCTCTTTGACTTTGTGGAGTTAGATAACGATGCTGATCCTGTACCATGGAACCTGGCCAGTATGAGGAGGGCTTTGGCAAAAGCAAAGGAACAAATGGTTCTGATGCAAAATCATCACTAAGCATTGTTGGTCTTTCATCTTTTGATGTAATAATCTTAGAACCTAGGTTTCCTTCTGGTATCCGGCTTGCCATGTATGCTTTTGCAATTTCAATTGGTGAAGATCCAGTTTCATTTAGGACCTGCAATGTTTTATAGAATTTAAAATTTTAAATAAATAGAAAAATAAAAAGAAAAGATAGGAGGAAGACAAGCACATCAAATTTCAATGTACCTAACAATACACAATATATGTTGGGCATGCCAAAAGATGCAACTCTGTGCATGCACCAAAATGTGTATTAGCGACAGAAAGAGACAGACAAAAGACAGAGAGAGATGAGATTAAAAAAAAAACGATTTACTAATAAACTTATATCATGGGAGGACAAGAGACTTCCCTTTTATATTGGCAGCTTCTACAAGGCTCATCCTCACAGACCTTCCTGTTCCTGACCAGACCAACAGCTGTAGTAACTCACTAACTCATCTTAATTTACTGTCAAGAGCCCAACCCTTATTTATATCTCCTTTTAATATGTCAAAAGCTTCCAGAAAAACATTTGATAGACTATTTATCTATCACAAGCCTATTCAAAAGTTTGCTACTTAATATCTTTGATCCAATTATTAACTTGACAAGTATATCATAAATACTTCTAAGTAAAGGGTACACTCCATTTGCACCTTTTTAATTCTTGAGTGGGTACGATTATTAGATATCCATCAAATAAGCACCTAAGCATCTAACCTCCTAAAGAAGAAATTTATGAGAATTGTATAGCTGGTATTCTCTCTTTTCAATTTGTGTTAAGGAATTCCTAGCCCAAAGTGTGAAGTATTCGAGATTTAGTGAGAAGGCCAGATCTTTTATTTTCCTTTTTCTTTTCCAGCATGGTTTCACAATCAAAACCAGCCCTAAATAGTTCTATTACAACCATAGAATGGCCACCTATCAAACCCTAACTGAACTCACACGAAAGCAACCTTCAAGCTTCAAGTCTAACCGCTGTTCAGGTTACCGTTCACAACCCAAATCTGCAGGAATGTTTATTGCCGTTTTGTTTGCTTTTGCTCTCAAAATTGAGTCCTTTCCTTTCTAAACTAACCAGAACACTATAAATTAAAATCTCCCATCCAATTAAACCCTAAAATTACAAGTTCTTGCCCACCAAACAAATAAATTACTCAATTTGATGCAACTCCCTTTCTTGTCCTACATCAATTTCATTAAAGATTAAATTAAATTACTTAAAGTGATAAATAATATGATGGTATGAGTTCAAATTTTTTAATTTAAAAAATAAAATCTAAGGGTTACTACAAGCTATGTTACTCTGGCTCGGGTTGATTGTTGGATAGAGAATGTGTGTGACATGGGCACATTCAAATTTTTTCTAAAAGTTTTTCCATACATTTGGAGGGTCGGGTCACCATACCATGTCCAACATTTGGAGGGTAGGGCCACCATACCATGTCCATGGGATGTGTTGCAGACGGATACTTTAAGGAAAATAAACAGTTGGAGCAACATAATCTAATTTATAATTCTCTACAAATGGAAACCTTCTTTAATATTTTTGCACAAACATCATAAATATGCAGGAACAAACACAAGACACAACATTCAACCTCAGTAATCCATGCACGTATCATTGTTCCAAAATACAAGTTCATCATAATAATTTCCACTCACAGTTGGCTTAGGAAGTGGGGTTGCCATATCCCATACAGCTTTATTTAAATCATCCTGTTTTTCTTCAGTTGGCCTTCTCAGGTTGTGAGCAACCATCGGTCCCCTGACACCTCCAGCAGACAGGATTAAATCCCCACTTTCTTGATCAACTTTAGGAACATCAGCAGCCCTTGAATTTATAATCCCTATAAGATGATTGATTTCGTCCCTGGGTATAGATTATAGATGTTAAAAACCATATTAGATAATTAACTCTTTGCAAAGATAGACACAAACACAGATATGAATAAGTGTGCAGACAGGGATGAAAGACCAATCTCATTCATTATAAACAATATTTATACCAGTAAACTTGGCAGAAACAAGCAAGTTTACAATTTATGAACAACAGAGAGAATGTATAATCAAAATCAACAAGTCACCTCGAAAATGTTTTCCCCTCCACTAGCTTCTCAATTTCTGAAAGCCTGTCATCACTAACATCACCCTTACTGCCTTCTCTGTTTTCAGCAAAGTCAGAACCAGCCTTTGATCCATCAGTTGTTGTGCTAGTACCAGTTGTTTGGGAAACTCCAAACTAGAAAAAGAATAAAAATATATTCATTCATGCTAAATCACCAAGAAAAGTTCAAATTAACAAATTTTCACTTAAATAGAGCAAGTACAACGTGATTTAACAAAATTTATAAAGTGATAACACAAATAAGAGGATTTCGTAGACAAAAACCCTTACAATTGAAGAAGTTTGATCTTCGCCATTAGAATGTTCTTCTACATCTTCATCCAAGTTACCTGTTTTCAAACAGAAGTAACAAACTTCAACAAATAATCACAGTAATTAAACATTTAATTAAATCACTAAAAATTCTCTAACTTTTGTCACCTACAAAGTTACTCACTTCCAATCCCTAAAAAACCCTAATTAGTCACCAAGAAGAAAAAAGTTTCAACGAAAGACGCGTTTTTTATTTAAAAAAAACTAACCGTGAGTTTGAGGTTCTGGAGGCGGGAGGGTAACGTTGGTGAGAGGATTGGAGAAGAGAGAGGGGAAGACTCTAGTGGCACCGCCGGCGATGAGACGGCAAGCCGGATCGACGAGTTTGGAGAGAAAGCGGCCGCGTAGGGATTGGTTCTGTTGAGGGCGGGCATAGGGAGTGGCCCATGGTCGACGCGGCGTTTGCCTCAGTTTCCGACCGGCGGCGAGGTCTGTTGCTTGGGGGTCTTGCAATGAGTAGGACGGCGTCGTTTTTGTGGTCTTTTCCATTTGAGTCGCTGTTTGTCTCTCTCTCTCCGTCTCAGCACGCACAATCACGTACCTATTCACTGTGCCTACTGCGAAGCGCGCTCTTTTGACATCTTTTTCGTTTCTTTTTGTTCCTTCTTAGCTACATCTACAACCAATGAGCTCATGCCACGTGTAAAATTTTTAATAATAATAAAAATATGATACTCAAATAAATCTTAAAACTTCACTCAAATTGAATATTAAGTCTTTTTTGTCTTTTATTGCATGTTTTATTTTATTATTGTTAGAATTTTAATATCATAACATATTTAATTTTTATTAATTTTTTAGTTGAATGATGTAATTTATAAAAAAAATATGATGTAATTTATAAAAAAATATTTACTTAGATTTATTTAAACAAATTCGATTACAAATACTTGATGGAATGCTATTTTAAAAATTTTGGTAATTGAATTTTATTCATCCATTTTTAATCTTTTATGGGTATAATTAAAATAAAATAAAAATTTATAATCTTAATTTCATATAATAAAATTTGAGGGTTTGTTTGTATTTTTAAGTAAACTTCTAAGATTTATTTAGATATTGTTCTAAAAAAAAGAAAGAGAATGAATTTTTTTTAAATATTTACTTTTTTAAAAAATTTTAATTGAATGATATAATTAATAAAAAATATTTTGATTTATTTAAATGAGTTTGATTACAACTATTTGAAGGAATGTTATTTTAAAAATTTTGGAAATTGTATTTTATTTGTATATTTTTAATATTTTATGTGTATAATTGAAAGAAAATAAAAATTTATAATCTTAATTTCATACAATAAAAATTTGAGAATTTGTTTATATTTTTAAGTAAACTTTCAGGATTCATTTAGATATTATTCTAAAAAAGAAAGAGAATGAAAAATTTTTTAATTACTAGCATGAAATTGTTAATAAAAAAATATAATTTAAATTTATCTTTATCAAGGTTCAAGTGTTTTTTTTTTCCTTTTTATGAGTCATTTTTTTCCTAGTATTTATGAAGAAAATGAAATGAAAATCTTGCATAAGTATAAAAGGGATTTATGCAAGACCAAAAATATAAGAAGAGGGTTCCAAAAAAAAAAAAAGGTTTTTCTTTATGACATTTTTTTCTACAAACGTAACAATTTTCTTTCATTTTACGACTCGTTTTGAGAGTTTGATGCATTATTTATAAACAATATCCCAACCATAAAAAAAAAAAAAAGAATTAGAATCCTTTTAAAATGACAAAGAAACAAGGTTAATATGATAATTTTTCATATTCTGTTTTTTATTTAAATTAATTTATATTTAAAATAAATAAAACATTTAATATTTTTATGTACTATGTGAAAAAAACATTACATATATATAAATGAGAAATAAATTATTTTTAATATATAAAATCAAATAAATAATAAATATTTTTTATTTTATCTTTTTATATTTGTGCTCTCTAAACACTTATTAATACTGTTCAGAGCTCCTGTCTTAAAAAAAAAAAAAAATTAAAACAGTTATTTTCATTAACTAAACAAAACTGTCAGTCCAAAAAAATTGTTTTCAAAATTAAATTGAAACAAATAAATACGTTTATTCACGAGATTTATTAATTTGACATTAAACTTTTAATGCTAATTCTTTTTGTGTACCTTAAACAAAATATCAATTGGCTGACGTGGATGAAATTAGTCGTATGCATTTTGCTCATAATTGGTTAACCAAAATGCCATGTCACCTTTCATGCCAAATCACCTTGCATTTATCATATGTTGCATCATTATTGGTGGATATATTTATTTAAGGTGTGAATTGTTTGAGTGATGGAGTTTCAATTTCTGTCAGCCTCGTACAACCAAAAAGGTATACTTCTTTTGCCTTAAAATATTTGTTATATATTAATTTTTATAAAGTTTGAAAAAATTTTTGAATTTAATATATTTAATATTAAATTTTTAATTTTTTTATAAAGTTAAAGTTTCACGATTTTTAATATCAAAAGTAAAAAAAATAATAAAAAATAAGAGTTTTAAATAGTTAAAAATAATAATAAAATATAATTTTGAAACATGAAAAAAAAAAAAAAAAGACAGATGGAGTACATTGTTTAAAAAATCGTCATGCTTATATATTTTAGTATTAGATTAGCCATTACACGGAACTTACCGGTAGCCAATTCATTCAGCCAAAACATGCCCTCTTTTGAAACCCTGGAACCCATTAATGAAGGCAAGCATTTAGGTTCCATCTAATCATCTGCTTCATCTCAAAAGAACATGAGAACAGTTTCAGTGGTAGAAAAGTCATTTTATTTAGATTAAAAAAGAAACATTTTATACCATATATTACAGTGTCTTGGAAATAGCTAGCTCAATTAGTGTTTTTATCAAGAAACGGAAATTGAAGATCAGTCAGGCTTTATTACTGCAGAAAACTACAAGTTGTAGGAAACAAATTGCCAGGGAATTCGTGTGGCGCAGCACTGCAGGGCAGCACAAACCTAAAATGCAGCTGCACTGGTGTGTGTTTGTGTTCACATCCAAACAATAAAATCGATAATCAAATGTCAAATAATCTGGAATATATTACAACTAAAAATCATCCATTGTGTTAAGCCTAAAAATATCACTTTAATCATCAGAATTTGCATTTTGTGCAAATTGGAGAACAAAGTTCAAAAGTTATTACTTTCAAAGTCAAAAAGTAACCACTTAAACTTATTACCAACATCTTGATATATATATTGTATTCCTATGAAATTAAACTAGTATTAAAGAAAAAGCTTAATCATGTTTCCACTATTTCATAAAGCCATTGATATTTAGCTTTTGATTGATTCAACCATTTTTGTCCTTAACACTTTGAAATGAAGGATGGAAAAGGTAGACAATTATGGAATTTGGTTAGTGCATGCCATATAAAGCTAAATGCTAAAGATATTTGCTTCTCTATTACTGTCTTTGTCATAGTCATGAGTGAATTCTTGAAGGAAACAGTCATGAATATCCAGCAATCATAGTTGTACTCATCATGATAGCATTATTTTTTTCAACAGTGCAAACAGAAACGGATTCTAAGTTTTCTTTTCCAAACAAAAAATGTGGTAAAAATCTTGAAGCTTTTTGCTTCCTCATACGTGGCTGGGGTTGCAGGCACAATTCATGGCTGATTGTTTCGTATGCTGTCATTAATCAGCTTCCTTAAAGTGAGAAAAAGTAGAGGAAAGGGGTGGAGAAGAGAGGAAAAGAGAGGGAATAATAGGAGCTAATAGTAGAAACGAGACATGTCAAAAGATGGGGTGATCAAGCTCTCTTGGTGAGATTTTTTTGTCACATTGGAAGATGGAATCAAGTTCTCTAGATGGATGGCTAATCAAAATATCAGGACCTGTTCAACATGCCGAAACGACATCTTCTTTCACTTCGTGACTCTTGACAGGTACCTCTATTGGTTCTTCTCCAAAAGGAACTCATAGCAGCCCATCAGCACGCTCAGCAGCCACTAATATCTTGCATTGTCAAAATTTATGAAATCTTTGGAAAGGGGATGGGGGGTTAAGAAGAAAAGAGTTAGGTAAATAGAATTGTCCAATCCCGGAATGCTGATAAGATGTGCTAGTAAATATAAAATTATGGGATAATTTGATTCTTTTAGCTCCCCTCTGGGCTCCGAATGAATGATTATCTGCAAGCCCTGGAATGCTTGTCTCACGAGGTTACAGATATTTGCGAGCGCCTAGTAGTTCTCGTAAGATTCTGATTATTACCTTTGACAATACCATGGCATACTAACCCATGTGTAGTAGCAGTACAGCAATGAAAAAAGGTACTTCTTACTCCGCCCATCCATTAACGTCCCCACACAGCGCATATTTTCTCCAAGCGTGAGCCCCATCGATTCCAAATCCCAATCCATCAATCAAATCCACGATCAAAATTAATAGAGCTGTCAGCTAACCAAGGGGCTCCGGCTTACCTCCCATGGTTAGTCAAGCTGGTTCAATTATAGTAACCAATTTCAGAAGGGATATAAGTTTTGCAAACAAATACCGCATAAGCTCTTGCTCTTGACTAGCTAAGCTCCCCAGTCAGGCGGCAGAGTCTTGCTCTATCAGCTTAATTAGCTTGGTTAGGCCTTTCTAATCAACAGGTCAATTCATCATGTTCTACACCGCTTATTGTGGGGCCTAAATTCCAACCAAAGACTGTTATAACTTAGAAGCAGAACCTTGGAGCCTGCAAGAAATGCAAAAAATGGAAAATCCAAAGGCTTCACCAGCAAATCAGCCTGAGCCAAGGGACACTTACAAAGTTGCTTATATAATCCATTTCTTGCTTGGTGCAGGCAATTTACTTCCATGGAATGCTTTTATCACAGCTGTTGATTACTTCGGTTATCTCTACCCAGCCAAGCATGTTGAAAAGGTTTTCTCTGTAGGTTATATGAGCTCTTCTGTGCTAGTTTTAGTTGTTATGATGAGTTCTGGTTGCAGCAGCAGAAAGTTGACTCATAGATTTAGAATGAACATGGGATTTTCCATGTTTATTCTCTCTCTAATGGTTGCTCCAACTATAGACTGGGCGTGGCATAGCAGTTGGTCGAAAGAAAGACAGAATGCAGCCTATTTTATGACAGTTGCAGCAGTTGTAATATGTGGTTTAGCAGATGGCTTGATAGCAGGAAGCTTGATAGGATCAGCTGGAAAGCTTCCAAAACAGTACATGCAGGCTATTTTTGCTGGAACTGCTTCTTCAGGTACCTTGTAACACTTTCACTATTCAACTCCTACCCCTATTCTCCTACCGCTTTCCAGAATTAAACAATCTGGAGTTTTAAAGTATATTGATGACAAGAATGTTACAGAAATCATATATGAGAAACCATGTCCTTGCAAATTAAAGCCTTTTAGGTTGGAGAAGATGGAAAAATAAGGCAACTTATTTCTTATTCAGTTATGGTAAAAGGTAAAGCATTTAATTGTAGTTCATCTCAAATTGAGGAATAATCGCTTCTATTATGTACTCTCTTTTTCTTTTTTTTTTCCTTTTGGAGAAGCTCAAAAGTGCATGCCAGCCTAAGGTAACATAGGTACTAACCTAGAATGTAGAATACTATGAGCTATATCTTATCTTCACTGTCTGCCCAAAAAAGATCCCTCAGAATTATGGAACTCATTCCATGCAAGTGCATCCTTTATTCTTTCAATCACCATCTAGGATACTTGTTTTAGCTACAATTACTCTTGTTTCCTGTAGGAAGACTAAAAAGTTGCTGTACGATCCGCAATGTGACTCATTCTCTAACTAAATCTAACGTCTGATAACAGGTTTGCTGGTTTCCATCCTGAGACTAATAACCAAGTCTTCACTTTCACAAACCCCACAGGGCCTCCGAGCAAGTGCTCACTTCTACTTTATAGTCAGCACCACCATCCTGCTTTGCTGCATTCTTTGCTGCAATTTGCTATACAAATTACCAGTTATGCAACAGCATTACAGACTTCTTCGAGATGACCCATTTTGCTCCAGGCCACAATTTTGGACAGTGGCAAGAAAGGTCTGCTGGCCAGCTCTTGGAATTCTCATGATATACATAGTGACCCTATCTATTTTCCCCGGATTTATAGCCGAGAATCTGGAATCCAAACTTCTTCAGGACTGGTATCCTGTTTTGCTGATCACAGTGTATAATGTCGCAGATTTCATGGGAAAGTCTCTGACTGCAATATATGTTCTACAGAGCATTAAGAAAGCAACATGGGCTTGCATATCTAGGCTTTTATTCTATCCACTTTTCACTGCTTGCCTCCATGGACCAAAGTGGCTCAAGGGTGAAGTACCAGTAGTGATTCTTACGTTTATGCTCGGTCTGACAAATGGATACCTAACAAGCGTGTTGATGATCCTAGGCCCCAAGATCGTACCAGTTTCAGAAGCAGAATTATCTGCAATTGTATTGGTCGTGTTCCTGGGAATTGGATTGGTCAGTGGTTCAGTTCTTGGTTGGTTTTGGATCATTTGATCCTTCCTGAGCTCCCTAGTCTCCCAAGTCATGTAGCCAGTTTTCCTTGGAAAAAGAAAAGGTTACTTCTGCACTTCTGCACGTCGGCTGTGTGCTGTTTTGGGCAAACCAGGAGTCAACTCTTCATGTACTCCGAATAATGATATAATCTGAAAGTTCTCTTCATCGTCTGAAAACGCCAAAAAAAAAAACTCAATGATTGTTATTAGCATCAAGATTGCTTAGCAAAATCTATTAACAGCTTGGTGTTTATTTTCTTTAGATATACCATATATGAGTGATTTAATCTCTTTCTCACCTTGTTGGCCCCACTTTTTTTGTGTACAGGAAAGAAACAACTCTAGAGTTGGATTGAGCCCAACCATGATTAATGAAGCAAAAACGGATAATGTAATAAGAATTGAATATTCTCTCCTCAAACTTGATTGCCGGCCAAAAGCAACAAATAATAAGAAAACTTCAAAAAAAAAAAAAACGTTAGGGGAAAAAATAGTAGCTTTTATCTTGTAATCTTGATCAACTAGGAATCAATTTCGGTGGTACAGGAACTAAGCAATCTTGATAAGATCAACAACTAGGAATCAATTCCTTCAGAAGCCTCCATGCTTATTGTAATGAACAGCACAAAAAATGCGTATTAATTGATTTAAAAAAAAAAAAAAACAAATATCTTCTTTAACAACATCATCTCTAACCCGAAATTTTTCACTAAACAAATCATTAGATGGGTTAAAAAGAGAGAGAGACGAAGATTCCAATGAAAAATTCATTTCCATATCTTATTTTCCCTTTTACCAGATAGGGCTCCAACGTAGAGAAAAGTAAAACAGAGGTCTCACTAACTACAAATCTCACTCTTTTCTACAAGGCCAAAAAAAAAAAAGGGTATATCAACAAAAGTCAGAAGAGCTAAATACAAGCTATGTCACAGTAAGAGTCCTAAGAAGCAGCAGCCAAAGGAGGAGGCGTTGGAGGAGCTGCATGGAAAAAGCTTTGCTCTGATGCTTTACTCAAAATTTCCCCAACTTGTTCTTCAGAATCCCAAAGAAATCGTGCATATGATGCCAACACAAAACTGCAAATTCATGAAAAAAAAAATTGATATAGATTTCCCGTTGATGATTGTGTAATTAACCATAACTAATCAAATCCATGTTTAAAATTTAGTTTTGGGGCATTTACCAGTCATCAGAGGCAGCTTTAACAGCTTGTTCAAAGTAAGTTTCAGCTCTCGGGCCATCTTTGTGAGTTTGCCAGATTAAATCAGCGTACATAGACAGAACATTCCCGTCATTTGGATTTGCCATGATTGCCTTCCCACAATATTCCTCAGCTCTCACGAAATCCCCTTGAACCTGTTCGGATTTCCGACATTAGATCAAACTCAAAATTCAAAAATCTTTTTTAACCTTTTCTTTTGTGAATATGAAATAAATATGGATAAATAAAGTTACCTCTTTTAAGAATTTAGCGTAATTGCTAAGGAGAAGTGAATTTCCAGGATTAGCCTCGATCATTTTCTGATAATACAATTCAGTACTATCATGTCCTTTATTCCAATCCCAAAAGCCCCATTCATTATCGCCACCGTCGGAACCACCACCACCACCGCCTCTTCCACCACCGCAGATCATTCCCCCACCACCGCCTACCCCACACACTTCCTCCACTCCAAGCGAAGCAGTTCTCCACCACTGAAATACAGCTTCTTCTTTCTCCACCTCCTCTTCTTCTTCATCCACACAGATTCCATTCAAGATCCCGGTATTTTTCTCAACGGTTTTCATCTTGGGGATCACCAAGTCCCTCAGATCTGTCTCCGACACAGCCCTCGTCATCCTCCGACTCGAATCGTCGCTCGACCCCACAGAAATCGAGCTCGAGCACGAAACTGTGAACGAAATGGTTCGGGTTCGGGAAATCTGGTAAAAAACCTCGTGCTCCGGCGATGGTTCCTTCGAGTGTGGGACCCATGAGTTAAGTATCGGCGTCGATGCACTCCTTAAAAGCATTTTGTACTAATATGAAATGTTAAGAAAATTAAAGGTGATTTTGATACTTCAGCCAAAATCACGTTTCAAGTATTTTTCTTGGGCCGTCGCTTCTCTGCCGCAGCTGCAGCTGCAGCTTTAACGAAAAAAGTTGGCGACCAAGAGAAGGGACGATGGAGGTCTTTTATAGGGATGCCGAGTGGATGTACGGCAAATACATGGGCCGTTGGATCGATACCCTGATGTGCACGTGCGTTTTTGCTGAGCTGGGTTGTTAAGGACCAGTTTGCTGCGCAAAGAATTTATAAAACGTATTGTTTACCTTTTTATGTAAAAAGAAATATTTAAAACTAATTTGAGCTTGCTCTTGAAAAACTTGGGATAAAAGCCAAAAAAAAAAAAAAATGATTTGTATTATATTTTATCCCATCCACAAAACAATTTTTGAAAATCTTAGTGCTTCAACATAATATATATCTCATAAAATATATTCAACCATACATAGTTATTAGGTCATGAGTAACTTCGTAATTAATTTAATTGATATAACTTAAAAATCTTTTATTAGTATTTAATTAATTAATAATGTGTTGATACATTTCATTGAAATTAAATTACATACCTCTAGTCATAGTTATTCAAGTATTGAATCTTGCAAAAAATACTTAATTTTTAGACTTTGTATAGAACTTTAAAGCTTTATTTTCATTTGATGATTAAAGTTTTATCACATACTACATATTTATAAATCAGGCTACGGACCATTTTTTTTAAATGATTTTTTGAATTTGCATCCTACCATAAGGAAGTAATTAATTTTTAAATAACAATGACTAGATTCATGCTTTAGTTTTCACCGGATACATATATCTTAATGTTACATTTGTCTTTAAATACTTGAATGTGAATAATACATAATACTTGAAATATTGGTCATATTAAGTTTATAAAGCGAGAGTAAAAATGGTGTATTGAATTTATTTTTATTTAAAAATATATGTTACTTACCAACAACAAACTGTAACCAAGAGGCATATAACTTAAATACCACATTAATCCTTTAGTTACTAATAAAAAAAAATTATGATAAAGAAAAATTACAAAATTATAGTTAAGCAAATTATAAGTTCTAAGATTAAAGGAAAAACGAAATTCCATTAACTCTTTAAACAAACAAGTACACCATCCGTGGAGATAGCACTTTCACGTCAATGCTAAGTCTTCATTTTTAATTTCAATTATTAAAATTTAAAATTTTAAAATATAAAAAAAATCTAATAGAAAATAAATAACTGTTATAAATTATGTACCTTGAAATTCATTTAAGAGAGAACAAAAATCAATACAAACAGACCCTAAAGTGTGCACAACTCGTACTAGTCTGGGCTTTTCTCCATTTGCGCACTAGACGAAGACAAGTACACGGTTGACATTGACCAACGTTAGATTCCACCTAAAATATCACCGTCAGATTGTCCAGCTCTAGCGTTTTAACGGTTCTGATTCAATCTCTCCACATGAAACACAATAAAAACCAGCGGCATGTCCCCTAGGAAAGGTAAAGGGCAGGATTTTTCCCACGGAATTCGTATTACAACTCTGACGACAAAGGAAAGGGCAGCCCTGGGTTTTGCTGTTGAATCACACTGGTCTGGTGCACATGAGTGGCTGGTCTTGACCTAGGTGGGACCGTGGTGCAAATTGCGGCAAGTGGGTCTACAGAAGTGGTGGAGCCCGGGGGTTGGGCTCAACGGTGGGGAGTTTTATAGCCATCAAGTCGAGAGCATCACGTCTGGGGTGAGCTATTCACTGGTTAAGTGGACGGAAGCAGCTCCCTTTCCCCTGATTTTTATTGCCCCCATCCAAAGTTCTTTCGTATTCAGCCTAGCAACTTGTAAATATAAGGCTAATTTCGTCTTTTGGTCTCAATTATTTCTTCTTTGATGTTATTTTACTTGGGTGTTCTAAGTAGGCACCAAAAATTTTTTTCAAAAATACTAATACATCGAATGTCAATTTTTTTTTGTGAAGTTTTTAATTTATCTTTAAATTTTTTATCTAATTATATATATAATTGAAAAATATATTACGCGTTTAAATTCTTTTGAATTTATAATCTTTAAGTATTAATTTTAATGATATGTCAACTGATGAAAGGGATAATTAACATTAAATATCAATTTTAATAGCTTATATATTTAAAAATCATCTTGTATTTATTAAAAATAAATTTTTGAATATTATATTATATTTTTAAAAATTATTTATAAAAAAACATCATAATTATCGAAAATAGATTATTGAAAACCAATGATATTTTTCAAAAATCTATTTTCAAGAGTTGTATTGTTTTTTTGGAAATAGATTTTTGAGAAAATAATATAAGTCTCAAAAATCTAATTTTGACAATACATTAAATTTTTTAAAAATTATATTTAATTATAAATTCTTGATAACAAAAAAAATCAAGATCTCTAATATTAGAGCCATTGAAAAATATCAACTTCGACATATGGGATGTATAATTTCAGTAATAAAAATTTATAATCTTTCAACCAAGCACTATTTGATAAATAATGTTCATAATATTTATCAAATTTTAACAAATATGCATTTGAAAATAAATTGCAAACTATAAAGAAAACTCGTGCAAATGACTATTGCATCATGCGCGATGAGACAATCATGTTTTGTTGCATACGGTGCGACAGTCAATTTACACTAACATTTTTTCACACTTAGTAATTTCTCTCAAATACATATATATTAAAATTGTAAAAATATCACAAACGTTATTGAATGATAATGTCTCGTAAGCAAAAAATTAAAGGTCTCTATTAGCAAATTTTTCATGCTTAGAAAATAAAAAACTTTGAACTTCTTCAATATAAAGATCCAAGAAGTCTCAACTCTTCTCGAATATGTATTTTCAATAAAATTAACGATTTTTTGAAAAGATATATTTAAAAGACTTTAAAACTTATCGAAAATTGATATTCGAGAATTTTTATAGCTTATTGAATATCAATTTTCAAAAAATTTCAAAATCTCTTGAATATTTATTTTTGAAAAATTCAATGTTAAGAACTAAAGAGAGAAAGGGTATGAACGAAAAATACCAAAATGAAGGATGGAATGCATTTAATAAATATGAAAAAATGAATTTTAAATTTGAAATATATATAAAAATAAAATGTATATAACATTAAGTGAAGTGCATTTAGAATTTCCCTTTACTTTTCTTAATTGTCAGCTTCGTACGTAAAAGATATTTTTTTAATGGAAAATTGAAGCATTAAAAGTTGGTAAATTAAAAGTTATCTTTGGTCAAAATTTAGTTTTAATCTAATTAATTGATTGAATTTTTTAAATTTAATTAATCAATTGATCATTCAATTAATTTTAATAAATTATTAAAAATAATTTTAAAATTTTTTATTTTTCATAAATTCAAAAGCTAAATTAAACAAAATTTAAACAAAAAACTAAAAATATATAAAATACATTACCTTTATATAAAAAAATCTTTTAATTTATACGTTTTAATTATCAAAATTAATTTTTATTCGATCATTTTTAATAAGGAAATTTAGAAACTTCACTTAAATATATATATGTTTTTATTTTCAAAATTAATTTTTATTTGATCATTTTTAATAAAAAAATTTATGAACTTTATATAAGTCTTACCTCATTTTTACGTAGCCAAGCAAATTTGGTACCAATGCTTTTTTATTTTTTATAATACAAATAGGGATGTCTTCAGGTTTTATCTACACTTAATTTTTTTTCGTGAAGATTTTAGAAGTATTTATATTAATAATTTAGAGTATCTGAGATTTTACTTTGAAAGCGCTTTCACAAAAATTGAACCATATATACTTAAAAAAATTCATGCTCTAATGTACCAAAATGATTATAAGCTAGAACCCAGTTCTTAAGTTGAAAAAGGAAAGGAATTTGTATACACATCCATGAAACTGACTGAAATTCAAACAAACTCAGATAACCAAATAAGGACACCCAAATGATCAAAATGTCCAAAACTCTTGACAAATTAGGAAACAAGTCTCAACCATTACACATCCATTTGCATATATAAATAAGGCTGTTGAAAAGCACTAAAGATTAGGAGAGATCAAATAAAATCTTTCTTGCATTGATTGGATTTGGACCACCATGGAAGAGCCGAGAAAGAGAGATATGAAGTTCATTGGAACCAGTTTGCCCGTGTGTGTCATCATCATATAAATTTCAGCCTCACCCTTCTTTTCCACAGTTTGAAATATCAACTTGGTTTCATGATCATCCACCCTCCAATCAAAATGAGAAAATCTACCCTGGTAGGGCACATTGCTTGTACTTGTCATGCGTTTTTTTAAAATGTCGTTACTTGCAAAAATAATTGACGAACAGTTATGATATAATCAATTTTCTTTCTTCTTCTTCTTCTTCTTCTTCTTCTTTTCCTTTTTTATTTGTTTGTTATGATAACAGAAGCCTTACAATCCTTTGTTGGCGCCCTATGCATAATGCATGATCAAAGCTCGATCCCGGATACTTTAATTTTGTAAATCCAATAAAAATCTTTGACTTACTCTTTCTTGAGATCTTGCTTATATATGTTCTAAAAAAAATGGCATTATTTTTTTATCCATTAATTAATTGTAACCTTCCAAAGTGAGAAGTAAATCTCAAATAATCAATTCAATTAAATTTTAAAATTTCAACTTTGACATGCTATAATAATTAAGTGTTGTATCTATATTTGTAGATACCGATTTTGTCCGGGTCTACCATTTTATTAATAAACAAAACAAAAAAACAAAATAAACAAACAAAAGAAACAGAATAAGATAGAAGTCAGGGAGTTGGTACGGCGCCGCTGTCGCCAGCCCCCGACCAACTACCCTACCAGCCCCCCGACCAGCCTCCTGACCAGTCACCCTACAGCCACCAACCAACTACCTTACAGAAACCTAGATTCCCCTAATTGAAGCCTTTAAAAATCTCCAGCCATTTCCTTTTCGAAAAAAAAAAAAGAAAAAAAAGAGCTGGCTGAAATCCCCTTCAATCTCCCTCTGAAATCCCCTTCAATCTCCCTCTGGAATCCCCATTCAACCCCAGACAGACCCCATTCCTACG